TAAACCTCATTGAAAAGGAGACATTTTGAGCCAAAACTTGAAGGATCTGGAAGCCCTTCAGGCAGAGGGAACAGGCAATAGAAAGACCAGAGGAGAAGAGACCCTTGGAGACCAGCCAGTATGGCTGGAGCAGAGTGCATGGGAGGCTTCTAGAAAAATGTCTGAGTGGGAAAACCACAGTGGTCTCCACCACACAGAGCCTTGTTGCATTTGAGCAACAGTTGATCAGGGAAATGGTATGATCTGACTTACATTTGAACATAAACTGTCTGGCCTCTAGGTTGAGAACGGATCTGGAGGAGAAGAACTGAAGCTACTGTCAAACGCAGGGCAGAGAGGGGAAAGGAGGCTGGACCTAGGCGGTGGTGAGAGCAGATGAACTCTAGTTACCTATGCTCCCTAGCCGTCACCACATTGGATTTTTAGGAACCGTTACTTGTAATCAAAGACACTTGACATTTCAAAACAAACCCACAATTTAATGAGGTTCAACCAGAAGCTCAGATAGATAACATACCTTTTCTACATTGAGAACTGAAATCCAGTTCAAGCAAAATAATTAATAATAATTACTGTTTAGGGAGAAATGAAGTTTCTTTTTTAATCCCTTGACAAGCATTTATGGAGCCCCAATGAACTTAGGCACTGTGCAGGGTGCTGAGAACACCACAGCAAGAGTAAGGTCCTCCCTCTCAGAGAGGACTTACAACTTTGCCAAAATATAAAATTAAAAACTGAATTCTTTATAAATAAAAGAGGATTAACTTAAAAAAAAAACAAAAGTTGAGCCTTCCTGACCTGAGAAAAATAAATATACCATTTGTATTAATCAGCTGTTGCCATGATAATACTGTGTAACAAATGACCCCCAAATACGGCCCCTTACAACAAAATTATTTATTCTCATGTTCACAGGTTTGCAAGTTGACTGTCATTCAGCTGATGTAGGCTGGGTTCGGCTGGGCAGTTCTGTTTCAAACTGTGACTTGCCTGGGCTTGGCCCCAGATCATACCTTGGGTTCAAGTCTGCTCCACGTATCTCTCATCCTTTTTAAACCAGTAGCTATAGGGCCATCTTCTTGTCATGGCAAATGTCAGGGGCACAGGCACCAAGTCCAATTATGCAGCACAGTTAAGCCTTTTTCTCACATTGTGTCCACTAATATTTCACTCGCCAAATCAGGCAACTTGGTCAAGTCCAACATCAGTGGGTTGGGACGGATTCTCTGCCCACAGTGGGAGAACACTAACCGTACAATCCATTACAGGGGACTGAATAATTGGGACCAATAATCTAATCTGCAAACCACTGTATTTCAATGGCATATGCTTCATCTATGCCTGGAAATGTCAGCACCTCTATAAGAAAGAGTATTAATACATGAACAGGTAGGACACATCAGGTTGTTTCCCCGGTAGCAGGGCTAGCAGGGATGGATTTGCTTGGATTCACTTCCCCTTTCTCTTCCCATGCACAGTTCACAAAAAGAACCACACCTATCAGGATAGCAACCTGTGGCCATGCCATTGAGAGTTTGCCCTTGTATACATCTCTTTTATATAGAAATAAACATGGATTATGTTCTTGTCATCATCCAACAAATGATGCATTCCTACTGCCTCCATGAATTCAGTTGACAGCAGGAGTCTCTTATTTTTATTTCTATAAAATTCCTGAAATATCCTTACATATAGTACATGCTCAATAAATATGGGTTGAAAGAGTGGAGAGCAGGATACGAATACTAGAGAAACAAAAAATTATGCAACAACTAGAATGCTCACAGGTTACTGTGCTTTTTGGCATGAGAAAATAAAGTGTTATGTGACTCCCACCATGAATGCTATGGCAATTTATTATCTGAAATAAATATGAGATCTTAAAGTCATACTAACTATGAGAATTTAGCTTCTGTGTGACATTTTTTAAGCTAACAAAATTGCCTGTCACTTCCCCATATTTCTTCACATTTATTGTAAGCCTTTTAAATCCCTTCTAAAAACCACAAGTTTATATTCACCACTCTACTTAACTTTTTATTGTTTATGGGCTTCCTGTGAAGATAGCTAGACAGATAAGGCTGATGAAAAGGAAATCTTGTCCTTATCAAATAAATACTTACCGGTAACTGTGTAATGGGATTTTTTTCCCTACCAGTGGAAGACCACTGTTTCAGTAAGAACCCACTCATCTGAGGCATTTTAAATGGATGGAAAGTTATAAGCCAGCCAAAATGTCCTGAAAGAGTGAAATGAATGTTAATCCAATTGCCGGAGAATGCTTGCTTAGAAAGCGAGACTTCTACACTGGCCCCCCCTGCTGGCTCTGAGGATGCACTGTCTGGAGATGGATGAAAGCAACGTACCTAAACCTTGTCATCCGAAGGCACGTTACTCAAAGGGCAAACCCAGAATTTTTTCTGGAATGCACTTACTCAGTAATAAACATACCAACTGTTTCTTGAGTCTTCTTCTTAAGAGAAGAAATACTGCAAGTGGATCCTGCAATCAAGGCTCAAAGTAAGAGCCAAAATCATGCCGCTCGGGTGGCCGTGTTAGGGAGTGGGACAGCATGCATATGCATAGGGCTAAAAACCCAGGCGCGAAACCTTAGGAAAACAGACTGGTTTTTATTGTTATAAAGCTGGATTTGGGGGTCTGACCAGAAATGTCCTTCTCATGCATTTCGAGCTGCTAGAACAACTCCTCACCTTCCTGTCACTTAATTGTTGTTTCTCTTTCCCTTCTTATCTTCCTCTCACCACAAGAAGGCTTTTCACTCTATAGGAGATGTGGTAACCAGACTAATTTTAAAGGCAGCCTGTCACTGCAGACTTCAAGCCTATTGTGAAATCTCAGTAAAAGACTGTCCGCTGGGGGAGACAGAAAAGCTGGTAGATTCCTCTTGCTTGATTCTGACTCCATTTGGTGGGAGGAAGGGGGGAAAATACTGACCTATGTTTTTAACACATGCGGTAGCACCCACTTAGCCTTGTGAAGGGAGCAGGTGCAGCAAGGATGGCTGTTTCCTTCCCAGAGCAAAAGCCAATGCCGTCGTCTGCTTGGAGAACAAGAACAGAGCAAATGTCAAACCATTAAGCGGTACTGTAAATATGCCATTTAGAACATCAGATGTAGGTAGCTGCTCAGCTGCCTCGGGTCCTCCTGTTAAAAGTTAGACTGTATCCCCCAAGACAAATAGCACAGCTGTTGGGCAGAGGGAACTGTACACATACTTATGTAGTCATTGGTAGCATTTCTTCCCTACTTCAGAATGCCACTCTTATTTATCTATCATCTTCCTATCTATCTGTCGCTCCATTATAAACTTTTTCTTTCATTCAAGTCAATTCGAAATGTTTTCCCATCTGCAACTCTCTTCAGTTCGTTCTTTTTCAGATCCTTGGTGAAATGTTTCCCCCATTGCTTCTAAGGCTATTGTTTGAGCTCTACTATTTGAGTCCTCCTCTAGGGAGGATTCCCCATCCTCTTGCCTCTGGATTAAGAGCTCGTAGTAGTAGTAATGGATGGTGGGTCAAGGCACTCAAGCAACACAAAGTTAAGTGATCTGAGCCTGGTGATGGGTCAGGACTTTTCAAAGGGGTCAGCTGGGTGATTCTTCAGCTCCTTGTGGCATTGGCTGAGGTCATGGTTTGGCTGTGTGCGGCAGGCAGTTGGGCTGGGGTGGAAGGTGCAGAAGGACCCCCCACGTGTCTAGCCCCTCGGTGCTTCATCATATGGCACTTCTCTCTTTCTGTGTGCCTCTCTCTTGGTCGGCTAGCCTGAGCATCTGTACAACGTGGTGACTGGCTTCCCAGAGGGAGAAGGTAGAAGCTGCTACTCCTCTGAAGCCTTGACTTAGAGGTCCCAGAACATCATTTCCACATTTTATTGATCTAGTCACGGAACCAGTCCAGATTCGAGGAGAGGAGAGCTAGATTCCACTTATTGAGAGACAAAGGATCTGCGGCCATCTTTAACCCATAGTAATATATGTCAGTCACTTCTGCTTCTGTTTTCTGTCCTTGACATGTTTTATGTTTCGTTCCTGTGTCTTTATATAAATTTTTCTTTTTAAAAAATTTTCCAGGGGCCCCTGGGTGGCTCAGTCGTTAAGCGTCTGCCTTTGGCTCAGGTCATGATCCCAGGGTCCTGGGATCGAGCCCTGAGTTGGGCTCTCTGCTCAGCAGGAAGCCTGCTTCTCCTTCTCATACTCCCCCTGCTTGTGTTCCCTCTCTCACTGTGTCTCTCTCTGTCAAATAAATAAAATCTTTAAAAAAATTTTTTTTCCAAACAAAGAGATTTGGAAACTCTCTCAGCAATGAGGTAGAAAATCCTGCCTTTATTTGCCTTTGAAAAGTTTATTTTCTTCTACCCATCAATCCACTGGTATATATTACACATTTTAAGCCAAAAGAAAATGTTAACCAGTTTCTAGTATACAACCATCACTGCCCCTGCCCAGATATTTGTTTTTCAAGGAGTTATGTACTGTGGTGTATACTTGACCAACATAGTCTGTTCAAGACAAAATATTTCATAGCATAGATGTGTTAGACTGTCATGTGTAAGCTAGGTAAAAATAGATATTTTTTGCAACATATATCAAACAGGAAAAGAAGTCATAGAAACTTAATCAAGCAAATTTACTTACACGGTGCATATTGCTTGAGTCAAGGGAGAAAAGCAGATTCGAATTAAGATCAGTACTGCATTTTGGGAAATGCTGTGCAAGGAGAGAAATGTTGTAGGAGTGCTGAGTGAATTTTGTTTACTGTGGTGCTACATTTCATCAAGCAAATCAGGTGAGAAGGGACAAGTATAAATGTACCTATTTATATAGGTAATTTCTCTGTTTCATGCCTCTGATTCATCTCTCTGCCTTGCTTTGGGAGTCATGCTACATTGGTTACAATTAATTTCAGTGCTGCATATTAGCCCTAAAGAGGTATTTCATAAATTGACTTGATGTATTTTTCCCCCCTCTGTGGTTTTCTTGAAAGATGAGAACGGTCCAGAGGAAAAACAAAGTACAGAAGAAATGGAAGGGCAGAGCCAAGAAGCAGGTGGGCTCAGATTTCTTTTGAGGAGTCTCCTAGGCCTCATCCACAGAGGTGAACAATAACTTTACTCAAATGTTGTTTTCTAGACATGTTATAGCTTTTCACCGGGTTGACTGCAGTATTCATTTAGGTCTCCCTCAGGAAGCCACCAGTCCCACTGGAAGACAACGCTTCCAGTCAGAAGGGTGCATTCTCATTCCTCATTCACCAATTCCATTTTTCTTCTGTGCAACAACACTTTGCTTAGAAATGCTCTAAGAACAATGGGCAGAGGTTGGAAGTGCCAACTCAGAACTTGGCTACCTCAGGACAGGTCAAAATTAGCAGATTTAGTTTTGGGGGAATAAAATGAAAATGTTTAAAGTAAATAAATTAGAGGCTTTCCCTCCATGAGGAGTAGAATGTTCTTTACTACTTTGCATTGAACTTTGAAGAGCTGTGTTTCTGGTTCTTTCTTTACGTGTGGTAGGAGACAGTGTCATGAAACCTGGTTACCTCACAACCAGACCTAAAGTGAGATCCAAAGCCTTCCTGACATCTCCTCTGTTCCCTAAGAACAGATGTGTTCATTGGATGTTTATAGATTCTCTACTGTAGATTCTGAATGGAATAGCTTTAAGTGAAGTAGCAGTTAAGACTCAGAAGAGTCTTTAGCTTCTCATCTCTTCTTACCCATTTGTAAACGTGTCCTCAGGCACGCTCTCCTTTAAAAGGCCAATAGGCACAGTTATGCCATTATCAACACCACCACCCAAATCAAAATATCCTTCTTTCCTTTAGTCTCCAAGTCCTAATGAGCCCCACAGAGGCACGTTTTTGAAACAGTGGGCTCCGTCTGATGTGTGCCAGTCACGTCCTGGGCCATATGCTGAGCTCTTGGAAATCAACCAGTAGTGTGATAAGTTTTTCACTGAAAACTTCCTACATTAACCTTGGAACTTTTCCTAGAGAATTGGAATCTTTTATTATTAACCTGGAAGATGGAATTGAAGAAGGACAATCAGAGAAAGCACTGAAGCAAAGCAGCAAGGACCTTGTGTAGTTGCCGCTGAGTCAGCTGGCTCCCTTGGCCGAAATGTAGTCCTTGCAATGAAATGAATTTCTGATACAGCAGACTGTTGTTATCCACCCCACCCCACCCCAGTTCCCAACCCACACATCATTATGCACCGTGGAAGATGAGTCTTATGTGAGAAGCTGTCACTGTTTTCACTGTTTGCCACTGACAAGTATTAGTCACTAACTGCTGACAGCTGAGGCCATTCTCTGAATGGTGAGATTTCACAGGTTTTATTCCCTCACTGTTCTGTCCCCAACTATCTCTATCAGCATAGATTTTTTCCCACCCTTGTTCACACACACACATACACACACACACATGCACACACGCACACATCTGCCTGTGTTTTGTTTATTCATCCTTTTTTAGCTAGTAAGTTGAGAACAGGTGGTTTCTTTTTGGATTTGGGATCACCTGTCAGCAGAGAGTGGTGGGGCTTCAGTCCTCTTCTGCACCCCTTGGATTGATAGCATTATCATCGCAGTATGTTTACCTCTCAAGGTAAAGAATAGTCCTAAATGCACCCCTGAGGGGCTCCTCTTCCTCTTCCAAGTGAGCCCACTGGCTGGCCCAAGTCATGACAGGATTCATCTCTGATCTGGTCTGTTGTCAATATACATGGTTATATCTGCTCTGGCTCATTTCATAGCCTCCTTAATCCAAGTGCAGAAAAATCAAAGATGAGGTCCTGGTCAATAAAGCCCTTTTGACCTACTGTTGTTCTTTCAAAATATAAATACCTCCTTTATCTTCAATATGATTTCCAACTTCAATTTTGACTATGTAACTGCAGGCCTCTTCCACATCATGAAAAACACACAATCTCAAGCCAACACAGTTCTGACTACTGTCACGATCAAATCAAATCAAAGTTTGTAGATAATATTCCTCAAATAGTCATTTTTTATTATTATCATGTTCAATTAGCCAGCACATAGTACATCATTAGTTTCAAATAGTCATTTCACGAATACATATCAAGGGTCTATGTAACTCAGGCACTGTTCTGGGCCCTGGGATACAACAGAAAACCATAAAGACAATGTCCCTGCCTCCTTGAAGCTTATATTCTGGTGGGGTTGGCAGTGGGAGGGGGGTGAAATTCAGAAATAAACAATAAACAAAAACACACAAGATGGTGATAAAAGCCTTGTGGAGAAATGAGGTAGGTAGAAGGAACACTGAGAAGGCAACTTTCCATTGGCTGGATTTGGGAAGGACTCCCTGAGGAAGGGATATTAAATAAAATCTCAATGAGGATCTCTTCACCGGTGGAAGAGCATTCTAGATGGAGGGACCAGGTGATGCAAATGCCTCAAGACCAATTTTACCATGTTGGAGAAAGAAGGTCAGAGTGGCTGGAGCATGGTGCGTTAGGCAGAACATGGTGTAAGATTTGGTTAAAAAAAAATCATAGGACCAGATAATGTCTGACTGTATAATATTTGATTTTATTAGAACTACAAAGAGAAGCCAGTGGAAGTTTTGAAGTTTTAACAAGCTCAGTTTGCCTGTGAGTAAAAGTGGTTCACAAGAACCAGAGACCAGTTAGAAGGCTATAGCAGGAAGAAATGGTGACAGTTTCTGGCAATGGAGAGAAAATGGATTGATGTGTCATATTGCAGACATAAAGATAACAGGATGTGCTGATGGATTTGGATGTAGGGTATGGGGGAAAGAGGAATCCAAGATAACACCCAGATTTTTAGCATCAGGAACTTTGTGGATGATGGTGCCACTTGCTAATATTTGGAAGACTGGCCACCAGGCATAGTTTTTGTTGAGAAAGTTAATAGTTCCGTTTTTTCCATGGTAAATTTGGCCATATGGGATGTCAAGAAGCTAGCTAGTTAGATAGATTAAATGATGATTCTGGAGAGATGTTGACTGAGAAACAGGTTTGAGATTCACGTGGCATGTAAATGAGGTTTAAAATAGTGGTTCTGAAAAAAAAATAAACATTTAAAAAATAAAACCATGGTTCTGGGTGAGAGTCACTAGAAAGAGCATGTAAATAAAGAAAATAATGGTCTTGAGACACCAAGACATCCAGATAGGTGGCAACAGAATAAAGAAAGTGTTTCAGAAAGAACAGAGTTAAGACTCTGTGAAATACTACTGAGAAATCAACTAAGATGAGAAAAGAGAAATGACCATTGGATTTGGCAAAGGGAAGTCATTGGCATCTTCCCTCAGAGAATCTCGGAGGAGTACTGGAGCCAATGGAGTGAGTTATGGAGAGACTATGAAGTGAGGAAGTACAGAACAATAACTCAGACAGCCCTTTTAGGGAGTTGTATTGTGAAAGGAAGGGCAAATGGGAAGATGTAACACCAGGGGAAGGTTAATAGTCTTCTGTTTGTTTTTTTTCTTTTTATAGGAGATTATCGCCTACCAAAAGAAAGTGATTTATCCTCTCCAATTATTCCCCTACTAAAAATTTTATTCTCTCTTCCAATAGAGACATAACCTGCAAGTAATAGTCATATGCATTAAGAATGAAAGAGATGCTAGAAAATATGCAGTTTGTCTTCAAATGTTAATTGTCATGGGTGTGTGAGTTCTCTTGAGTTCCATAACCTTGTTACTACATGAAGAATGTATATTTCTTTTCAATCCCTTCTTCAGTTGTCAAATATTAACCATTCCAAATGATTTTGATAATCCTTCATATATTAAATCTGCTATTTTAATGTTAGTTAATCATCTATTATCCTGGAAGCTAGATACGAGTGGAGTCATTGTGGTGCCTGTGATACTGAGAGGAAAGATCAACTTGATGAGGTTCATTGCCATCGTGAGGGGGAGAGGGACCTCCAAGTTCCTTAGCCCCCACTCTGTGTTTGGGTGATGTGAAATCTCCAAATGGCTTTTGGTGCTTCCTACAAATGATCCCCTCCTGGGCCTCTGCGTTGACAGCCATCAGACATGCTCCTGGCATAACAGAGCAGAAGTGCTGTGCTAAGAAAAACCAAACTTTAAAAACACACACATAAAAGCACTTTGTAGAAACTTGCAAGGATATGCTTCACAATCATTCCCTAAAAGAAATGTACCATTCTTCTAGAGGTGGGGAAAAAGCAAAATGCCAAAGCAAAATAGGACCAACAAATAGTATTCTTCACCAAAAAATAGTTTGTTGTCATTGGGTTCTGGTTTAACAGATCCTGTCCATTAATTATAAAAGAGAGTCATAAACCCTAAACCCTTCGAAGACCACTCCATATATTAGAGCATTAAACAGGTTCATACTTCCTTGGTGGAGTGGAGAGGGACACGACAAAGGCAGGGAAACTCCATTTTGACAGTATTAACTCTGAGGCCGTGTTTCTCTTTCTGCTGTATAGACGGCGTCAACGCTGCAACTGGGCCCAGCCCTGCTTCAGAAGAGGCCGTTGAAGTCTGTAAAGATGAAGGTATGAGACCGCTTACTACATCTAAAACTCACAAGCTCATAGAAGACCATTGGATTTTGTTTATATGGGAAAATGAAGCCGTGAGCAAATCTATCTAATTCTCTTTAAGCACCTCTATTTCCAACCCAATCAAATATCATGCCCACTCTGTTTTATTCCATATCTGCCCTTTCAGAATTTATATATACATTTATATTTGTTCCTCTGAAAAGTAACTGTTTATTAAGTAAGAAAAATAATCAAAGAAATTATGTTCAAGGAAGATTGCTTATTTAAAACACCAAAATTAGGCAGTTCTACTGTTTACAACTGCTCATTAGGAATAAGTTCAGAGGAGTGGCATTTGGGAACCACCTACCAGGGGCTCCATTATCCAGACATAATAAGAAAGAAAAAATGTTAAAAGGAATCTACAGAAATAAATTTTTGGCGGGAGCATCATCCCTCATTCTATGAACAGTTACTATGAGAAAATGTTGCAGAACCAGGTATACCCAGAAGAAGAAAAAAGTAAAGAAAAATCATATTTAGGTTCTAGGAAAAAAATTTGAGGGAGAAATAGTGGGGACATTCATGTGCAGATGATAGAGTTAAAAAATTATCTGAAGGAAAATGTAATAGTCCTTTTTTTTCTTTCATTCACCCTGATTAACTGTCCCCAAACAAAAAGGTAATATGATTTTATATCTGTCATTGGTTGCTATTAAAAACCACTCTATAGACTAGATTGTTATTTATACAAATGGACATCTGGTAAACCCATGCAATCTACTTGGAACTTTTAGATAAATATGCTGAATGCATTTGTTTCAGTTTGGAGTGATATGAAAATAGATCTATACTTGACATTGATACTTGCTATTCCTTGAATCAGTATTTAGAAAATCAAAGTTGTTTTACAATTTTAATACTCAGCTGTTTGAATAATTCATTTCATTTTGTGTTGTCTGGTAAGTGGGTTTTCCTAAATGAAGTGTCCTGCGTAATGAGAGTAGTTGCTAACATTGTGAACTCTGGGGCTAGATGGTTGAAGCTTAAATCCTGTCTCTGCCACTCAAAATTGATGTAACCTTTGACAAGTAACTCAAGGAATTAACAAGTAATGACAGGTAATTAACCTCTTTATGCTTTAGTCTTCTCCTCCATGGAGTGAAGACAATAATAGTATCTACCTCGAAAAATACCATATACATATGTCAATTGCTCAAACTTTTCAGCTGGCACGTGTACAGATTGGGCTCCCCAAAGACAAACTCTGTGATGGAGATTAGGAAACAAACATTTATTAAGCAGAGCTCTGATTCCAAGAGCCTTTCCACCTGTGAAAGAGAAAGGGTCAAAGCAGAACTGGGTAGAGAGGGAAGTTGAGCTGAAAGGCATTATCAACAGAGGCCACAGCTAGCTGAAGATAGCATGACCCTTCTTCTGAGATGTCTCATCTGGATGAAAGAGTCAGGTCAGTAAGACCTTCCATTGATAAGTCACCTGATACTGGGTGCCTTGGGAAGGGGGTGTGCCTTCGGTGAGGCAGAGATCTTCCATTGAGGTAATCCTGGAAGCCAGAGATGAATGAGGGCTGCCTGCACCTGGGAGAATAAATTCTTCATTCCTATAGGGGGAACTGGGTTGCCCAACAAGCATATACCATGCTGTAATTTTCAGTCATCCTTTTTTTGATCATTGCACTTTTTAAATGAATCCTTTAGCACTTCTTTCATATTACTCAGATATGTGTTCTTACATCCCTGGTTTTAAAGCCATTTGGTATATCTAAAGATGTAGTAATGTAGATATCCACATAGGTTCTGATAAGAAACACCAGGTCATCTTAGAGAGATAAATAAACCTGACTCAGTCTCAGTGGAAAGACAAAAGTGGTGTTCATTTTAGGCAAATAATTTTGGACATTCCAGTCATTTAGCTTGTGATAAAAAAATTTTAATGTCATGAAGTTGAATGGCAGAGTTTAGGAAATAAGAGATAATCTAATTTAAGTACTTCAAGCTGAGATTTTTCCTATTGAGCTGTTTGGTTTAGAGATATTACACCCTTATATAAACACACTGTTTGTGATGTTTCTTGATGCTTTTAGGATCTCACACCATTAATTGCTCATGCCACGATCAATTTCTCAGAATACTTTTAGGGTTTTTTTTTTTTTTTTTACATAAAACTTTTAATGGTGGTGACTCCAACAAGTTCTATCACATATCACAAATGCAATTCCCTAGTAAGATTAAATGTGAATTTTAAGGATTTTACTGAAATAAATTGTTAATATCCATTAACCTCTTGATCTTGGGGAAGGAAAAGTGTTTTCAAATCCACATTAACATGTAATCCAGTTTCAGTTAAAAATAGAACATATAAGATAGGATTTTTGCCTTTTCCTTCTGAAATAGCATACACACGAGAACACTGTTTTTGATTATCAGTCAGTACAAAGCTTAGACCAAGTGTCTAATGCATGTAGAACTGGCATCTTGACTGACATATACATAGCTTAGAACAAAAAAGAAATGAATTTGCCATTGAAATCCTCCAAGACTGAGATCAAGTTGAGATTAGAAGGCAGTCACATGTGTTGAGGATTCATTTCAAGCATTTGCCATTATTAGCTTTCATGCAGAAATACATCTCCTCCTTGGTGACACTGGGACTATTTATGAGCTCTGCCGTTATAAGATCGCTTTTAAAACTGCTGCAAAGTTTTTATTTTTATTATTATTATTATTACCTCTATTATTTAAAATATAGTCATTCTCCTTAATTCAAGGAGAACTCTCTGTTTTAGTTGTCTCAACACTCTTAATAGCTCATCCTTACTCACAGCCAAGGCCAAGGCACTTTCCTGGAGGAAAAAAAAAATGTGCTGTTTCAACACATCCCAATTCTCCTGTCTTATTATTTAATCAGTACCTAATTTGAATTTGAAGGTCAAGTAGACCAAATCATATGCTCATTAATATTAAAAGAAAAATCGGTTAATACTCAGGTGCATGCACACCCGAGCTTGTATTCCTTTGGAGCTCTGTAAGTCACATCATTGCTGTTTTGGTGTTTAAGAAGTGTGATGTCACCTGGCAAAGGATTTCTTAACCCTGAAACTGGTGGCAGACCCCCTAGATGTCACAATTTCTGTAGAATAAGAGCAAAGCTAAAACAGGAGTCAGCCCTGCAAGGAGAACAAAAGAGAAAGGATGAAGTTAGGTGTGAGGAAGCGGATTCGGGCATGTGCAAGAGATGAGAATACATGGTCCCAACCATCGGTTCCTGTAAGTCTGGCCAAATGATGTTGGCTCCCGATGCCTCTGACCATGTTTCTCTTCCTTGTCTAAATCGTTGCAGAGAAAGAAAACATAATTGTTGCAGAGAAAGAAAACATTGTACCACCCATGAAATTCCTCGCAGACTTTTGCAGTCTAATTTTTTTCAGTCTTTTTCTATTCTTGGTGTCTATCATCCCTCACCACTAAGGGTGGTGTTAACTAAGGCTAAGGCTTACTAAGGCTCCTCACCACTACTCACCAAGGTGGGACAAAGCTGTCCCGGGTCCTGGATCTGCATTGTTTCAACCAGATCTGTAGAGTGTCTGGATACACTGTAACACCCAAGTTATCACTCTTGGATTTTAAGAGTCTGAAGTGTGAAATCAAAGTCACTGCTCTCTGGCAGCTCAGTGAAGGGGAAAGAACTAAGATGTATGGAGTGTCTCTGGCACTCAATGTTTTACACTTATGTACAATATATTCTTCATTTCACAAAAGGGTAACCTAAGACTCATAAGCAAGAGAAAAAGGTGTATGTGTGTAGCAGGGGAGAGGAGAACAACTTTATTATTGTTTACTCCCAGCTGATATTTAAGTGATATTTACATTTAGATAATCCTCCTAAAGATAGTATTTTATTCTATTTTTAATATAACAATTATTTATTTTTTTCTGCCTATAAGAATAATACATATTTATTGTAAAATATTTTAAAATTCAGGAAAATATAAAAGGGAAAAACCTATGATCATTTTCTCTTTAAGGAGTAAGTAATGAAAAAATGTCCTCATTCTGATTTTTTAGTTAACAGTGCACCATGAATATTTTCCTGTGTCTTTAAATATTCCTCAAAGGCATGATTTTTATTGGAGGCATAATATTTCATCATATGGTTGTCTGACAATTTACATAGCCAGTGTTCTAATGTTAGATTATTTTGTTATTTACAGTTTTCTCTCTATTATAAATAATAAGGAAATGCAGTGCATACATTTTAAATAAATCTCTGTGTATTTCTATGATCAGTTCCTCAGGATAAATTCCTGATTTTATTTACTAGGGAAAAGGTTAAAATATTTTTATTGCTTACATTTATTTTCTTATTTTAACAGTAATGGGTGTTTATTATATGGAAAAAAAAACAAGCAAAAGAAGAAATGAAAATATCATCCATAATCTCAATCCCAGAAATAAACATATAATATGCTGGTATATAAACTTTCAGTCTGTTTCTAGAGTGCTGTAGATAGATAGATAGATAGATAGATAGATAGATAGATAGATAGATGATAAATAGATAGATAGATAGATAGATAGATAGATAGATAGATAGATAGATTTTTAGGGTATTATTTATTTATTTCAGAGAGAGAGCTAGCACAAGCAGGGGGAGAAAGGGGAGGGAGAGGGAAGGAAAGAATCCCAAGCAGACTCCGTGCTGAGCCTAATGCTGGACTAGATCTCATGACCTTGAGATCATGACCTGAGCCGAAACCAAGAGCCAGATGCTCAACCGGCTGAGCCACCCAGGTGCCTGAAACTGTCTTTTAAATATAACATAGATTGTGAAATTATTTCCATGTCTTTTAATAGTCTAATATCACTTAATTGTACATTCCAATGAATGAATGTTTGTAAGTTACTTACCCTTCTCCATTTGAATCATTTCTTTGTTTTCAGTTTTAAATTCTGTACTGGCCAGGAATGTTCTTTAACTTTGTAAATGTTCAT